AATCAAACACTCCCCTCCTTTTGTTACAAAATATCTGCTTTTACATTTCCGACCCTTACAGTCAGTCCTGATGGCAGTTATTCACTATTGTACCACAAGAGTCGTATCCCATCTCCTTTCATTAGTCCTGTCCCAACAGATTGGAAACCACTCAGTGGAGATTCTACCTTTCCCCACCCCATCTGAAACTAGGCTCCCTCTTGAAAGCTTGTAAGCCAGTCACTTCTCACCTTTGTAGCCCTCCCACTTTGGGTAGCCAATGTCTAAGTTGTCCATCCCTGTCAATCCTGTGTACTGAGGGGGTGGGAATGATCTTCGCTGTAAAGATTTGTTAGTTTTTCATCAATTGTAGCAGGTTACTCTTTTTTCCTCTTCTTTCTTCTAGTCCAGTTCTGATCACCCAGTCATCAAAGCCAGGTCAAGTGGGTACTATCTGTAAGTGTGGGTGTTCTTGTGCATCTCCCCATCACTTCATATCAGCTGGATGCTTCACACTCCGCTCTAGTCCTCTGTAGCCATGTCACTGTCTCTGGGACCAGGAGTCCCTGGGTCTTGCCATACTGCTGGCCATCCAGGTCTCCACCCAGGTTCACAGGGGTCTATTGAATGTGGTTGGACTTAGCTCACAACTTCATTGCTGTTTTCCCCCCACTTCCCCTTATTGGTGACCAGCGTATCACCAGCCAGACCACATGCCCACTCATGTATTCCCCTTGAGTCTTAGACTTGGAAGGGGATTTGTTCTGAGGGGACCTGACCACTTGCCTTGATGGCTCCCAAATGCTCTCTGTCTTTTGACTTGTGTGTTTAATCCATTTACATTCCGTGACTGCTACTCAAGTGTCCGTGTGTCTCACTGTGGTGGCTTGCATGTTGTTGTTTTGAATTTGGATACTATGTCACCGGTATTTTGAACGCCAGCAAGGTCGCCCATGGTGGACAGATTTCAGCTGAGCATCCAGATGAAGACAGATTAGGAAAAAGGGGAGACAAAGTACTTCCTAATGCTTAGCCACTAAAACCCTAATCAATAGCA